CAAGGCTTTCACTATTGGCTTCATTCCTTGTTAACTAATGTTCCAAATTACATGTACATGCATAGCAAGAAATAACTGTGGGATAGTAGGGCCTTGACACAGCGAGTTGCCGACAGAAAATAGTGGCTGGATTTTGCAGGCATTGATGCAATGTAGAACCTGGGTTTCGGTTTGGGTTAAGGTTAAGGTTAGGGTTAGGTTAGGGTTTGGGTTGAGGGTTAGGGTTTTGGTTTTGGTTGAGGGTTTGGGTTGAGGGTTAGGGTTAGATTAGAGTTAGACCCTGTTCATACCAGACTTATATTTAGCGGTTTCAACCGGTTTTTCAAAAACCGGTTTTTATTTAACCTGGTGTGAACGCAAATTAACCGGTTTTTTAGGGGTTTAAATCCGATTTTGAAAAACCACCTCGGGAGGTGGTTTTTGAGGGGTTTTTTGAAGGGTTTTTCCACCGAAAAACCTGGTCTGAACGCTAAGGGTTTATTGAACCGGTTTTTGCGTCATAATTCCGGGGTCACGGGTCAGCATCCTGGCCGTGTGCGACCTGCAAGCTTTTTTGATCGCGTTGTTTTGACCAGCTTTGAGTTCGTTTCCACTGTTTTTCCATGGTTTTTCTTCATTTTGCGATGGAATCAGCAAACGCAACCTGGTCGGCGGACGGGACGCTCCTCAGGTTTGGAGAGCAGGAGTCGCCAAATTCGAAAAAGCTAGGGGGGGGGGGCGAGGGCTCCACAGAAACAAAAATGTTGGAGGAGGCTGATTTCTTGAAGATAAAGGATCAGTGCCGCACTAAGGTAAAAAAACAAACTGAAGACGGCATACAAGCAAGAAGGCCAAGGACAACAATCAGAAGAGCGGGAGGAACGGTTATTCAAACTGCAGTCATGGCCGATTAATTGGATATTCACCGGACAGGATTTTTACAAAACCGGTTATCAAAAGTCTGGTATGAACGCAAAGGGTTTTAGCCGGGTTTTTGAAAAACCGGTTGAAACCGCTAAATATAAGTCTAGTATGAACAGGGTCTAAGTCAAGGGGAGGTAATTCATTAACAATTGTGGAGAAATGGCTGTTTATCAGGTCAGCCATGTCTCCGTCATTCAGATGGGCAAGGTCAGGGGAGGAGATCTGTACTGGGGGTTTTCGACAGTTTAAGATTTGGCGCAGACATCGGTGCCAGTCGGCTGGGTTTTTTGAGATGCTGAACTTTGGAAACATAGTGTCGTTTCTTAGCTTTAAGGGATAGGTGGATGACTTTGTTTCTAAGACTCCTATATAGTGACATGTTTCCCACATGGAAAGCCCTTTGGCGTTTCTTGATGGTAGCCTTTATTAAGGGGGTAATCCATGGTTTGTCACTATTGTGCTTAATCACTGATTTATAAGGAAATGGGTATCAATTGCTGTTTGTAGTATTTTGGGGAGGGCAGTTTATAGTGACGCCGTGTACTCGTTGTTACATACCGCAGTCGGCCTTTACTCGTCCTCCCAAGCTCTTCTAAAACCGACATCTTGTCTTCCATCTTGTTGATTGACCGACGAAACCTCCAAAAGGACGCAGAAGTTCTTTCTGTAGATTTTTCGGCGAATTTTTTGAGGAAGGGAAACTAAAAACTAAAGGTAGCAGCACACAGTATTCTTCCGCGACCCCCTACGATGACGTAGGGATAAGAAATGAGTGCGACAAACAGCTTGCAACGCTTGTACACAGCCTAACGTGGATGACACCGGAACATACAAGTTACCGTATGGTACCATAATATGTCGGCTTTGATATCTCATAATTGAGATTAGGAAGGCTGCTCGATCGGCGTATAAATGCGCGTGACCTTTTCGCTGCCTGCCAGGGTGAGTCGGCTGCAGTTCCGGTGCGCTCCGCAGGAGGCCATTTAAAAGAGGTCGGCATGATGTCAAAAAAACGATAATTTTTTGTACTTTTTGTTATTTTGTACATCGTACCCTATATTTGAACATATTCGTTTCTCGTGCTTTTCTATGGTACCCTACTGTATTTTTATCCGAGTCGAAGTCAGTCACTTCCGGGTCCTTAACTATAGAAATCCCCATAGGCGAAAAACTGTGTTCTGCTACCTAAAAACTACTGGAGGAGTGCTGTTGCAAATGGCGGGCAGGTCTCGGGGTCACTGGAAGATTACACTCATTTCTGGGGGATATCTGATATAAGAATGCAATAAAATGCTTCCTTCTTCGAATTTTTTCCGCTAAACGCTACATGTAACGTTACCCAATACAATTTAAAAAAATTGACTTGTTTTTTACTCAATGAGTTCTTTTATCATAATTCTATTCTGATATTAAAAAAATCAACAAAAATGTTTTGAGTGAAGTTACCCAATAATAAGTGTATTCACCTTTTATTACTGCCATTTGCTATAAGCGACCTCTTGCGACATACTGTTGAACGTCAGTTACCTTTCCCTTTGAATTCTTAGACACCTGTTATGCTAAAACATCTTGCGTATTGACTATTTATTAAGCAGTAACCAAATCAAACAATACCTATTAATATGGAACTATTTTCTAAAGATATTCAATTGTATAAATCTTACCTCTTCGTTTGCTATATTTCTTTTTTTAAATATCAGACACTTTACCTTTCATATAGTGGTTTGGTCCAAGGAACTTTGAGTTGAGTGACCTCGAATGACCCATCACAAGAGGTAAGTTGACAGTTCGACGCAGAAGAAATATATATCTTTATGTCAGCTGCCAGGGGCAAGAAAGGGCCAAGTAAGCTCCGTAGTTGAGCTTAACCCTGGTATGAAGCAACAGGTAAAGTCTACTTGGGGTTTGCATTGTATTTTTTTTTTTTGAACGTGGCTATATTTGTCTTTTATATACACTCCCGGAGTGTATATAAAATCTATTTGTCTTTTATATACACTCCGGGAGTGTATATAAAATCTATTTGTCTTTTATATACACTCCCGGTGTGTATATAAGATCTATTTGTCTTTTATATACACTCCCGGAAAGTTAAGAGTAGAGTAGAGTAGAGTAGATCTTTCGTCTCGGTAGGAAGTTCTCTTCCACTTTGAGCCGCTCCTTGTAGTTTACTGCGTTGACATCGTCATCTTGTGGGGGTTGTCCAGTGCCCGGGGGTTGTACACCACTGGATGACTTCTCATGTGTTTGTCCAGTCTATTTTTAAAACTGTTCACACTTGGGGCTGACACCACTTCCTCAGGTAGACTGTTCCACCATGTTACTACCCTGTTGCTGTAGAAAAACAGTCTTTTGTTGTTGTTCACTGATCTTTTGCTTAGGCGTAAGCTGTTCCCTCTTGTTCTTAATAGGGCATTCGAATGATCTGTCGCCGGTGCGAAGACCGCGCGATCGGCTGTGTTATCCGGAGTCACCAAAGGGACCGGGGCGAACCCCGGGTTGGTCTTGGTCTGATAAATGCACGCCAGACCGTGAGGTCGGCGCTTCTTCCGCATGTATTAGCTCTAGAATTACCACAGTTATCCATGTAGTATGTGACGATCAAAGGAACCATAACTGATTTAATGAGCCATTCGCAGTTTCACTGAGACAGTTTAAACTTGCACGTGCATGGCTTAAACTTTGAGACAAGCCTATGACTACTGGCAGGATCAACCAGGTAGCGAGGACGCCAGGGGCGCGCGACCGGTCTCGCCGCCGCCGCCGGGAGCGGAGGGTCCCGGGCCCCGCGCAAGCGGGGCGGGGCGGTCCGCTCGACCGAACTTCGGTGGAGATTTCCGTGTTGTTTTCTGATTTTCATCATCCAATAAGATAAACTTGAAGACCGAGGTTTAAACTTGGTGCCCCTGAATCCTCAAACACTCACAAAAACCCAAGTTTTGGGCCTACCAAGGAGGCTAGTATTTCGGAGTGTATATAAAATCTATTTGTCTTTTATATACACACCGGGAGTGTATATAGCCACGGCGAATTGGGAAACTAAAGTTACATCATTATTAAAGAAATGTAATGTTAACATATACACCATCCTGTCAGAAAAGGATGCAGCTGTTCGTCACTTACAAGTTAAACCTGTAATATCATAATTTTTTATTTTTCCCCAGCAGCTATCAGAGTTAGTCAGGTTAGAGCGACGTTCCAGCGCGGGATGTCAGGGTACCAGTTTGAGTCGCTGGCGGTGACCAGGCCGCGGGAACATGTCATGCAGGTCGAGATGAACCGGCCCGAGAAGAGGAACGCCATGAACCAGGCCTTCTGGAGGTAACGGAGAACGCACCATTTTTTTTGGGGGGGGGTAGGAGAAGAGGGCATAACTGACTAATGGTGTAAGACAGTTTAAGTTCTATACTGAACTGGTCCTGCTGCCTAACATCACAACCTTTCATCTGAAGTGTCCGTAATTTCACAATACTGTACATTGTATTTGTGACAATTGTAAACTATGCATACCACAACCGGCAACTGGCTCATCCTGTGATGACTTCAACCTAACAAGATATGCCTACCTTGAAATGCAGCTGTTTGGAAACTGAAACCTTCCATGTCCATTCATACTATTT